AGAAAAAGGAACCCTCGTGCCTTGTGGGTGGGATAAAACTGGTGCAGCCACTGAAGAAGACAGTATGGAGGTTCCTCAAAAAATAAAAAAATAGAATTCCCCTATAATCCAGTAATCACACTACTGGGTATGTATGTATGTATGTATGTATGTATTTATTTATTTAATATGAGAACTTTTCATTTTTAATTTTTTATTGTTATGTTAATCACCATGCATTACATCATTAGTTTTTGATGTAGTGTTCCATGATTCATTGTTTGTGTATAACACCCAGTGCTCCATTCAGTATGTGCCCTCTTTAATACCCATCACCAGGCTAACCTATCCCCCCCCCCCTCCTCTCTAGAACCCTCAGTTTGTTTCTCAGAGTTCATAGTCTCTCATGGTTCATCTCCCCTCCAATTCCCCCCCTTCATTTTTCCCTTCCTACTATCTTCTTCTTCTTTTTTTTTTTTAACATATAATGTATTATTTGTTTCAGAGGTACAGGTGTGTGATTCAACAGTCTTACACAATTCACAGCACTCACCATAGCCCATACCCTCCTCAATGTTTATCACCCAGCCACCCCCTCCCTCCCACCCCCACCACTCTAGCAACCCTCAGTTTCTTTCCTGAGCTTAAGAATTCCTCATATGAGTGAGATCATATGATACATGTCTTTCTCTGATTGACTTATTTTGGTCAGCATAATACCCTCCAGTTCCATCCACGTCGTTGCAAATGGTAAGATTTCATTCCTTTTGATGGCTGCATAATATTCCATTGTATATATATACCACATCTTCTTTATCCATTCATCTGTCGATGGACATCTTGATTCTTTCCATAGTTTGGCTATTGTGTTCACTACTGGGTATTTAATCAAAGAATATGAAAACACTAATTCAAAGGGATATATGCATCCTTATGTTTACTGCAGCATTATTTGCAATAGCCAAACTATGGAAGCAGCCCATGTGTTCATTGATAGATGAGTGGATAAAGAAGATGTGGTATGTATGTATGTATCTATCTATCTATCTATACACACACACACACATATATACAATGGGTTTTCATTTCATTGGAATACTATTCATCCATAAAAAACAATGAAATTCTACCATTTGCAAAAACATGGATGGATCTAGAGAGTATAATGCTAAGTGAAATAAGCTAGTCAGAGAAAGAAAAATACCATATGATTTCACTCATATGTGGAATTTAAGAAACAAAGGGAACAAAAAGAGAAAGACAAACCAAAAAAACAGACTCTTAACTATAGAGAACAAACAGATGATTACCAGAGGGGAGGGGAGAGCAGGGGTGGGAGAGAAGGTGAAATAAGTGAAGGGGATTAAGAGTACACTTATCTTGATGAGCACTGAGTAATATATGTAACTGTTGACTCACTATATGGTACACCTGAAACTAATAGAACACTGTATGTTAACTACACTGGAATTAAAATAAACAAAAACAAATAAAAAAACAAAAACACAAACAAGTAACACAAAATGAATAAAATAAAATTCCAAATAGGTATTAGAAATTATGGATCAAGAAATTAATATACAATGAATGTAATTAATGTTAAAGACTTTGTTCTGGAATTCTCTTTCATAATAATTTTAATAGAGGTATAATTTATTACAGTAAAATGCAGAAGTCTATGAGGTTTGAAAAATTAATACATCCACATAAGTAAAACCACAACTAAGATATAGAATATTTCCATCACCTAAAAAAAGTTTCTTTATGCCCCATGAAAACCAATCCCCCTGTAGCAGAGGCAATTACTGTTCTGATTTTTATCACCACAGATTCATTTTGCCTGATCTTTAACTATATCACCACAGATTCATTTTGCCTGATCTTTAACTTTTAAAAAATAGTCTCACAAATCATGCATGAGTTTTGTGTCTGAATTCTCTCACTCAGCATATTTTTTTATATTCATCCATGCTATTGTATATATCAGTACTTTTTAAATTTATTCCACCATAAGGATATGACACTCACCTCATTAAGGACATTTCCATCATTGTTTCTAGCTTTTGGTGATTATAAATAAAGCTGTTATTAACATTATTGTAGAAGTCTTTTTGTGAATATATGCTTTCATTTCTCTTGGATAATAGCTAAGGGTAAAATTGGTGGGTCAAGACTACATATTTCTAGCTTCACGTATTTCCTGGCAAAAAGTCCTTTGTCAGTTATATGTATTACAAATAATTTCTTCCAGTCCATAAATTGTATTTTTTCTTAATGATGTCTATTGAATAGCATACACCTTAAATTTTCATGAAATAAAACTTAATAATGAAAAATTTTATGGTTAATGTTTCAATTTGTCTAAGAAATGTTTGTCTATTTCCAAATCATGAAGATGTTCTGTATTTTCTTCTAGAAGATTTAGCTTTCACATTGAGGCTTATGCTCCTAATCAAATTAATTTTTGTGCATGGTATGAGAGGAAAATGGAGTTTATTTTTCTGTTTGGACTAGTTACACCAGCTTGCTTGGTTCAGAGTACTTTACTATTTCTATTGAACTGTGTTGGTGTTCTGAGCAAAACATATTGACCATATGGGCAACAGCTATATCTCATTTTTTATTGTGCTCCACAATCTATTAATTTATGCTATGCTGACATCACACTCTCTTGATTGCCTTATAGTAAGTTTTATAGTAAGTCTTGAAATCATGTATTTTTAAGTCCTCCATCATTGTTCCTCTTTTTCAAGATGGTCATGATTATTTCAGATCCTTTGAATTTCTATATAAATTTTAGATTCTACTCATCAATTATATTTATTCTTAAATATTTTAATTTTTCTGCTATTTATAAATGATACATTTAATAAATAGACCTTAGTTTTAGATCAGCTTTAGATTTATAAAAAGTTAAACAGAAAGATACAGTTTTATGTATAGAAAATCCTAAGGACCACCAAAAAACTATTAGAACTAACCAAAAGATGCATTAAATTCGCAGAATATAAAACCAACATTTAGAAATTAGATGCATTTCTATACACTAAAAGTGAAATATCTGAAAACAAAATTGAGAAAACAATCCCATTTGTAATAACATCAAAAATAATAGAAAAACAGGGGCGCCTGGGTGGCTCAGTCGTTAAGCGTCTGCCTTCGGCTCAGGTCATGATCCCAGGCTCCTGGGATCGAGCCCCGCATTGGGCTCCCTGCTCCGCGGGAAGCCTGCTTCTCCCTCTCCCACTCCCCCTGCTTGTGTTCCTTCTCTCGCTGTGTCTCTCTCTGTCAAATAAATAAATAAAATCTTTAAAAAAAAAAAATCCAAAAACAGTCATAAATTTAACCAAAGAGTTGAAAGATCCGTATACTGGAAACTATACAACTTTGATGAAAGGAATTGAAGAAGACACAAATAAATGGAAAGGTATTCTTGTGTTTATGAATTATAAGAATTAATATTGTCAAAATGTCCATATTACCCAAAGCCATCTAGAGACTCAATAAAATCCCTATCAAGATTCCAGGGGCACCTTGGTGGCTCAGTCGTTGTGTCTGCTTCAGCTCAGGTCATGATCCCAGGGTCCTGGGATCAAGCCCCACATCGGGCTCCCTGCTCTGCAGGGAGCCTACTTCTCCCTCTCCCACTTTCTCTGCTTGTATTCCCTCTCTTGCTGTCTCTCTCTCTGTCAAATAAATAAATAAAATAAAATTTTAAAAAAAGATTCCAATGTCATTTTTTTTACAGAAATAGAAAAACAGCCCTAAAATTCATATGCAACCAAAAAAGATCCTGAATAGACAAAGCAATTCTGAGAAAGAAGAACAAAGCTGGAGGTATCACACCTCCTGATTTCAAACTATACTACAAAGCTAAAGTAACAAAACAGTATGGTACTGGCATAAAAATAGACACTTAGACCAATGAATAGAATTGAGAGCCCAGAAGTGAACCTACCCTCTCATATACAGTCAACTAAGGAAGCCAAAATTACTCAATGAGAAAAGGATAGTCTCCTCAATAAATGTTGCTGGGAAAACTGGCTAATAACATGAAAAAGGATGAAATTGGACCTCTATTTATTCCACTCACAAAAATTAACTCAAAATGGATTAAAGATCTAATAAGACCTGGAACCATAAAATGAGAAAAAAACATAGGGAAAGAGCTCCTTGACATTCATCTTTGGCAAGGATTTTTTTGGCTGACACCATAAGAAATAATCAAATGTGACTACATCAAACTAAAAAGTTTCTATACAGCAAAAGAATGAATCAAGAAAATGAAAAGGCAACCAAAGGAATAGAAGAAAATATTTGCAAACCATATGTCTGACAAAGGGTTAATAATCAAGATATAAAAGGAACTCATATAACTCAATAACTGTGAAGTTGTTGTCTTGAATTGTATTTGAAAGTTACTGCATTTTGTGAAATGATTTTTCTGCATCTATTGAGATGATCATGTAGTATTCAGTTAATGTGGTAGATTGCAATGATGAATTACATTTAGTGTGTTGCTTAATTTCAAAATATGTTTTTTTTTTCTAGACTGCTACGGTTTTTTAATTTTATTTTATTGTAGTGAGGGAAAATAGTCTCTATGATTCAATGCTTTAAAATTTAAATTTGTTTCATGGTCCAGCACATGGTTTATATTCACTTGAAAAGAATGCGTATTGTGCTGTCGTTGGTTTAGAGTTCTAGTTGGTTAGTAGTGTTTTTCCATTTTTCTTTCTTTTTGGTGGTGTTTTTTTGTTACCAATTGCTAAGATGAGTGCTAAAACCTCCAGCTATAGAATTGTCTGTTAATTCCTTTAGATTTGTATTTTCTTGCATCTTGTAATTTTAGTTAGGTGCAACACATTTAAGATTGTTTATGTTGGGAGGGTCCTCAGCTAAAGCCAAAAGCCGATCAAAGTGGTGGGACTCGAGCCGTGGCCGCGGAGACGTGAAGGCCGTCCGCACGCCTCCTCCCGATCTGGGTCGGTGCTCGCCCTTGCTCTCCTCTCCACGGCCCCATGGAGAAGACGGAGCTGATCCAGAAGGCGAAGCTGGCCGAACAGGCCGAGCGCTACGACGACATGGCCACCTGCATGAAGGCCGTGACCGAGCAGGGCGCCGAGCTGTCCAACGAGGAGCGCAACCTGCTCTCGGTGGCCTACAAAAACGTGGTCGGGGGCCGCAGGTCCGCCTGGAGGGTCATCTCGAGCATCGAGCAGAAAACCGACAGCTCGGACAAGAAGTTGCAGCTGATTAAGCACTATCGGGAGAAAGTGGAGTCTGAGCTAAGGTCCATCTGCACCACGGTGCTGGAATTGTTGGATCAGTATTTAATAGCCAATGCAACTAATCCAGAGAGTAAGGTCTTCTATCTGAAAATGAAGGGAGATTACTTCCAGTACCTTGCTGAAGTTGCATGTGGTGATGATCGAAAACAAACGATAGATAATTCCCAAGGAGCTTACCAAGAAGCTTTTGATATAAACAAGAAAGAGATGCAGCCCACACACCCAATCTGACTGGGGCTGGCTCTTAACTTTTCTGTATTTTACTATGAGGTCCTTAATAACCCAGAGCTTGCCTGCACACTGGCTAAAACAGCTTTTGATGAGGCCATTGCAGAACTTGATACACTGAATGAAGATTCATACAAAGACAGCACCCTCATCATGCAGTTGCTTAGAGACAACCTAACATTATGGACATCAGTGCAGGAGAAGAATGTGATGCGGCAGAAGGGGCAGAAAACTAAATGCATACAGGGTGGTCATCCTTCTTCCCCTCAAGAAACCTTTTTACTCATCTCTATTCCTTATTCTATTTGGATTTCCTATAGCAAAGAAACCCATTCTTGTGTATGGAATCAACTGTTTATAGTTTTTTCACACCGCAGCTTTGGGAAAACTCCATTCCTTGATTTGTGTTTGTCTTGGCCTTCCTGGTGTGCAGTTACTGCTGTAGAAAAGTATTAATAGCTTCATTTCATATAAACATAAGTAACTTCCAAACACTTATGTAGAGGACTAAAAATGTATCTGGTATTGAAGTAATCTGAACCAGTTCTGCAAGTGACTGTGTTTTGTATTACTATGAAGATATGAAAATGTAGTCATTACAATTTACAAAGTGTTCTACATAACTTAATTTCTACATTCCCTCCCTTACTCTTCTTCAGGGGTTTCCTTTGAGTAAGCAACTTTTCCTTGCTCTTAATGTATTCCTTTTTGGTAGGAATCCAGAAGTATTCGATTGAATGGAAAAGCATTTGGCATTTCTGCGCTGGGGGTCACAAATTGAAATGCCTCCTGTATCATATATGATGGAGGTCTTGTATATCTGTGACAACAGGAAATTTCCTTATTCATTCTTCACTGCTGCTGTTTAAGTTGACAACTTCCCTTCCCAATAAAAATTCACTTACACCTCCTGCCTTTGTAGTTCTGGTATTCACTTTACTATGTAATAGAAATAGCATGTTGCTGCCAGAACACAAGCATTGCTTTTGGCAAATTAAGGTGCATGTCATTTCTTACTACACTAGAATGGGAAAATAAAGTACACAAGTCCAAGTCTAAAACGTTAGTACTTTTCCATGCAGATTTGTGCACATATGAGAGGGTGTCCGGTTTGTCTAGTGATTGTCATGTAGAGAGTTGGACCAGTATTGTGTGTTGCTAATCATTGACTGTAGTCCCAAAAAAGCCTTGTGGAAATGTTATGCCCTATGTAACAGCAGAGTAACATAAAATAAAATTACATTTTATAAACGAAAAAAAAAAGATTGTTAATGTTGTTTTGATGAAATAAATTTTACCATTATGAAATATTCCTTCTTAAACTATGGCAATACTCCTTTTTTGAATTCTTCTTCATCTGATATTAATATCACCATTCTCCTTTTTTTGTTTCATGTTTGCATGTCTTTATATAATTAAAGTGCCTGCCTTATGGATAGCACATATTTGGTTCTTATTTTGTAACGCAGCCCAACAGCTTTGTCTTTTAACTGTTTAGTCCTTTTACATTTATTAAAATTGTTTATGTCACTGGGTTTAAGTCTCCCCTCTTGAGTTTTGTTTTCTCTTTGCCCTTTGCACTTTGTCTCTGTTCTTCTTTCTTACCTTCTTTTGGATTAACTAAGTATTTATTAGCATTACATTGTACCTTCTGTATTGGTATTTTTAACTACAACTGTCTCATTTATTTAGTACTTGCTCAAGGGATCAAAATATGTATGTAAATTTCTCACAGTCCATCTTGACTTTACACTGCTTCGTATAATGTAAGACTCTAACAGTAGTATACCTTCATTTACCACTTTCAATGAATATTTAAAGCATTTGAGGATAAAAGTAGTCTATATTCATTCATGTTTCCAGAGCTCTTCATTCTTTCCTGCAGATTCACATTTCCATCTGACATAATTTCCCTCACTGAAGATCTTCCATTAGCATGTCTTGTCAGGTATATCTGCTGATGACAAAAATAGGAAAATGTGTTCATATCATCATTATAGTGTGAGGATTTTAGTTTTGCTGGATATAGAATTCCAGGTTCACAGTTTTGTTTTTTTCCTCTCAAAATCTTGAAAATGTCATTCCATTCATTTCTTAGCTATATTGTTTTTATATTTATATTTATAATTTACTTATTTAAATTTTAGGTAGTTAACATAGTGCAGTATTGGTTTCTGGAGTAGAATTCAGTGATTTACTACTTACATACAACACCCAGTACTCACCACTGGGTGATGGCTCCTTAAGACCCATCACCCATCTAGCCCATCCCCAACCTTCCTCCCTCCATCAACCCTCCATCAACTTCTCTATCATTACAAGTCTCTTATGACTTGTTTCCCTCTCTCCTTTTTTCTTTCCCCCCTTCCCATATGTTCATTTGTCTTCTTTATTAAATTCCACATATGAGCAAGATCATATGGTATTTGTCTTTCTCTGACTGATTTTGCTTAGCATAATACACTCTAGCTCCATCCATGTTGTTGCAAATGGCAAGATTTCATTCTTTTTGCTGGTTGAGTAATATTCCAATATATATATATTGGAACACTTCTTTATCCATTCATCAGTCAATGGACATTTGGGCTTCTTCCATAATTTGGCTATTGTTGATAATGATGCTATGAACTTTGGGGTGCATGTATCTCTTTGAATCAGTATTTTTGTATCCTTTGGTAAATACCTAGTAGCACAATTGCTGGACCATAGGGTAGTTCTATTTTTAACATTTCGAGGAACCTCCATACTGTTCTCCAGAGTGGCCACACCAGTTTGCATTCCCACCAACAGTACAAGAGGGTTCCTCTTTCTCCACATCCTTGCTGACACCTGTTGTCTCCTGTGTTGTTAATTTTAGCCATGTTGACAGGTGTGAGGTTATATCTCATTGTAGTTTTGATTTGTATTTCCCTGATGATGAGTGATGTTGAGATTCTTTTCATGTGTATTTTAGTCATCTGTATGTCTTTGGAAATGTGTCTATTCATGTCTTCTGCCCATTACTTAACTGGGTTATTTGTTTTTTGGGTGTAGAGTTTGATAGGTTCTTTATAGATTTTGGATACTAACCCTTTATCAGATATGTCATTTGCAAATATCTTCTCCCATTCCTTAGGCTGCCTTTTAGTTTTGTTGATTGTTTCCTTTGCTGTGCAGAAGCTTTTTATCTTGATGAAGTCCCAATAGTTCATTTTTGCTTTTGTTTCTCTTGCCTGTGGTGACGTGTCTAGTAAGAAATTGCTATGGCTGAGGTCAAAGAGGTTTCTGCCTGTGTTCTCCTCTAGAATGTGATGGCTGATACCGTTTTCTTAAGAAAAGTGCCTACATGTGGTCTGTGCAGGGGTAATGAAGCACCACAAACATATGAAGTTTTGTTTTTTGTCAGAATTGGAGAAATTTCAAATATTAAATATTGGTACATATTTTTTGCCCCTTCCTCCCTCTCTTTTTTCCCCCAGGAACCCAGTTACATTTTTTTTTTTTAGATCTTTTGATATTTTTTCACAGGTCACCAATACTGTTGGTGACCTATCATTATTTTCCCTGTGCTTCACTTCAAATTGCTATCGACTTGTTTTCAGATTTACTTATCTTTTCCTTTACAATGTTTAATACCAGTGCTAAGCCAGTCCAAAGATTGCATGCATTATATTTTTCAGTTTTAAAGCTAAAATTTCTCTCTTGAAATCCTCCATGTCCATCATATTTATATTTTTCTTTATATTATTTTTCACATTCATAGGTTATTTTAAAGTTGTGTTCTTCTGAATTTAAAGTCTAGGTCATCTATGTGACTATGTCTATTGATTTATTTTTCCTTGGTTAAAAGCCAATGTCTTTTTCTCTTCATACACCTAGTAGTTTCTTATTGAATATTGGAGAGTATGGATTCCACTGTGTTTCTCTAAAGATTGTTGATCTTTGTTCCAACAGGTGATAAATTACTAGAGAATCATGTAGACTCTTTCCAAGTATTGATATCAGGATCGGCCTTTATTTGGGTAGACCTATTTCAGTTTTTCTCTTAGCCTTAGATTGTATCCTTTGGTCTGGGTATATGGTTCTTACTCCTAAGCTGTGATTGATCTTGCTGGTATTTCAAGTGGATAAAGCCCAAGATTTTTACTTTGCTCCACTAGCTTGGTGGAATTTGGACCTCAAACTCTTCCTCTTATCATTTAAGCATCAGTCTTTGCTCAGTTCTTAAGATTGTCAGGTGCTTCTTAGTTTCCTGAAGGAGAATTTGTAGTCAAATTTTGGGGACCCCTTCCTCAAATTATAGATGTTTTAACAGCCCCAAATTCTGATCTATGACTTTTAATCCCAGTAAAACTTTCATGCTCAGCGTGAGCCCTATTCTTGGTATGCTAAGGAGCTAAAAACCATGGACACATGACTAAAGGAAATAAGAATGATTTCTCATTAAATAGAGAATATCAGTAAAAAGAAATAATCCAAAGCTATCATCAGAGCTCTGCCTCTCTCTCCATGCAGTGGCAAAGATGGTCCTCAGTAGCAACATGTTACATGATGCTTAGTGGATCTCAGATTCTTAACTGACCCTAATTTTATCGTGTCAACCCCTTATCAGCCTACCCTTGTAGTGGAGAATTGGGCTCATGTGATTGACCATGTCATTAGATGGGAAAGGACAATCTTTGATAAGAAGAAAAATATTCTGTTACCAGAAGAAGGAGGAAGTATTATAAGGTAATTTAAGAAGAAGAATAAAAACAAACAAACCAATGAACCAAAAAAGCTGGCCTAGAACTAGGTTTTCCATCTATGTATATAACAAAATTATTCTTTTCCCTAAGATAGTGTGGGTATCCCACAGAACTAAGATTTGCTGTTCATAGACAGAACTCACTCCCTGGGTCTAGTGCTCGGTGCAGGATCTCTGGATGACATGCAGTGTTTTTGGTCAAGTGTAGTTCAGACAATTTGCATTTGTGGAGTTATTAGCCACTTTGACTCAAGTTCTATTTTTGAAGTGTATCTCCCTTATCTCTTGTTCTTCATTGGACACAGAGAAGACTTTTTTTGAGGTGTACTACTTGAGCCTATAATTTTTATCTGGCATGGCTGCAAGGTCCTGGAAATTGTATTTATTTTTATTGCTGTTGTTGTTATTTTTTTTAAATTTTATTATGTTATGTTAATCACCATACATTACATCGTTAGTTTTTGATGTAGTGTTCCATGATTCATTGTTTGCGTATAACACCCAGTGCTCATTCAGTACATGCCCTCTTTAATACCCATCACCAGGCTAACCCATCCCTCCACCTTCCCCTCTAGAAGCCTCAGTTTTTTTCTCAGAGTCCATAGTCTCTCATGGTTCATCTCCTCCACCAATTCCCCTTCATTTCTCCTTTCCTACTATCTTCTTTTTTTTTCTTTTTAGCATATAATGTATTGTTTGTTTCAGAGGTACAGGTCTGTGATTCAACAGCCTTACACAATTCACAGTGCTCACCATAGCACATGCTGTTGTTATTTTAAACAACCCAGGTCTTTGTTTGCTAGAAATTTCTCTGGAAATAAACCTTTAAACTTGGGTATGGAACAACTTGAATTTTCTTGACTCTAAGATCTAGTAAATAAACCTAAAGATATAGTTTAGTTATAGTCTTTAAATCTAGACCCTGCATTAAGGCTACTTTAGCAGTACTTCTGAAAGTTTTGCTTATCCATCAGCCCCCAGTTAAACCACTTCCATTTGGCATTTCCCTTAGAAATGATAGACCCAGCTTATCTGATTATAATCCCATACTGCATTCCAAGGATATAAATAATACCGTTTATAATACATGAAGAAAAGCATTTAGACATAGCCTAGGGCATTTGGTTTTACTTTCTTCTCCACCTTTAGTGAGGTCCTAATATTTTTTTCCCATCATTGTCTC